TCTTACACAGATATTGCCAAATATGACTAGTCTCTCCCAAGGTGAAATGTCACTTCTCTGATTAATAGTCTGCGGCTTTGGGTTACACCTACATGTGTTTATATGGACTGTTCCATGCATACTTTGCAATGATTCCCATAATTTCAGCCCCCAGACTTATTTCAGGGTCATGTCGACAACATACATCCTCCAATTAAAAATCATTTCTATTTCAGATGGTACAGCTCAGTGGTAGAGTGTGTGCTTAGCATGCACGAGGTCCTGGGTTCAATCCCCGGTACCTCCACTGAAAAAGTAAATAAATCTACTTAACCCCCCCCCAACCCTCTCCCTCCAAAAAAGATACTAAAAATCAATTCTATCTCTTTTAGGGGGAAACATGAAGTTCACGTGCCAGTGAGCCAACCCTCATAGCACCTCCACTAAAATATCTGATGTGGGACAATGAAGTCCCTCCTGTCAGGGAGAGGTCACTGCTAAACAGAGTGACCAGGGCTGTGCTGGGGGAAGTCCAGGAAGCTCTGGGGTCACAAGGAATCTGAGCAGGTTGCCTGGAGGAAGAAACATCTACGCTGAAAACTGCTAAAAAGTCAGGTAGGAGTGAGACAGGAAAAAGAGAAGGCACAGGGGTGTTCTGGGCAGAGAGAACAGCCTAAGATCAGAGAGCAGTGCCAGGGCAGCCCATCCAGGGAAAGATGGAGCTGGAAGCTCGAGTGGGTTGATGGTGAGAGAAGAGGCTCAGGAGATGGGTGAGGCCAGATCCTGGGGCGTCCACAAACCACCTTAAGGAACTGGAATTTCTCCTGAGCCCAGAGGAAGCCACTTAAGTATTTTAAGTGAGGAAGCAACATGGGTAGGTTAAAAACAACAACAACAACAAAAAAAACTTTTCAGCAGGATAAAGAGATAGATAAAACAAGCAAAAACCAACAACAATGGGTTTTTCACCCTCTTCTTTATAACTTTTTATTTTTACATAATTACCAAACAGTAATATGTATCACTCTTGTGATTAAAAAAACAATAAAGACATTTTTTATTTTTTATATTTTAAAAAGCTACTTTGGCAGAGGACCTGAACAGATACTTCACCAAAGAAGAGACACAGATGACAAACAAGCACATGAAATGATGCTCCATGTCATAGGCCATCAGGGAGATTGAAATCAAAACCACAATGAGATACCACTACACACCCACTGGAATGGTCAAAATCCGGGACACTGACAAGATCAAATGCTGGCAAGGATGCAGAGCAACACGAACTCATTCACTGCTGATGGGAATGCAAGATGGTACAGTCACTTTCAAGGACAGTTTGGCAGTTTTTACAAAACTCTGCATCCTCTTACCATAGGACCCAGATGTCACACTCCTTGGTATTTATACCCAAATGAACTGAAAACTTATATGCAACACTAAAACCTGCACACAGATGTTTACAGCAGCTTTAGTCATAACTGCCAAAGCTTGGGAAGCCACCAAGATGTCCTTCTAACAGGTAAATGGATAAATGAACTGCTACACCCAGACTATGGATGTATTACTTAGCACTAAAAAGAAACAGGCTACAAAGAAAACCATGAAAAGACATGGAGGAAATATAAAAGCATATTACTAAGTGAAAGAAGCCAATGTGCAAAGGCTACATACAGTATGATTCCAATGATACGGCCTTCTGGAAAAGGCAAACCTATGAAGGCCGTGAAAAAATCAGTCACGGCCAGGGGTTGGAGGGGAGGGAGGGATGAACAGCTGGAGCACTGAGGATCTGTGGGGGAGTGAAACTGGTTTGTGTGATATTATGATGCTGGATACATGTCATTACACATTTGTCTAAGCCCACAGAATGTACAACACCAAGAGCGACCCCAGTGTAAACTGTGGACTTTGGGTGATGACGATGTGTCAGTGTAAGGCCATCTCTTGTCACAAATGCACCACCCTGGGGTGTGGTAACGGGGGAGGCTGGCCGTCTGTGGGGACAGGGGTACGTGGGAAATCGCTGTACTTTCTGCCCCATTTACCTGTGAACCTAAAACTGCTCTGAAAAATAAAGTCTATTAAAAAGAGAAACAAACAAACAAATGAAACCCCAGCCCAGCTGTGAGGGTGGAATGAGCTAAAATGAGAGGCAGGGAGGCCCCTCCAGAGGCAGTGGCAGGGGTCCAGCGGGAGGGCCGGGGACTGAGACGGGGCAGAGGCAATGCAGATGAGGAGAAGGGATCCAGGAGCATCCATGGGATTTAGGGGTTGCTTGGATGGTGGGGGTGGAGGGCGAGGGAGTCCAGAAGCACACAGGAGCCATGTGGGACCAGGACCAGATGCGTGGAGACCACTGCTGGTACTCTGAGCAGTGCCCACTGGCCCCTTCTCTGTCTGCACCAAGGGATGGAGAGACAACGAAAGGAGAGAAGGGAGGGAATTTTATCACCAATTAAGACAAGAGAAGTAATGCTTCCCTTTTTCATTTAAGAAGTATCCTGTTGAGTTATCATTTTTCTGATACATCATTTATATGAGATACTGCAACGAGAAATGACACACGGGAAACTCACAGCCTGAACTGGCTTTGCGGAACAGAAGGAAACCTGGGAGTGACATTCCTGTTGATTGAGGCAGAGCAAGAACAAACTGAGAGAGAGGAGAGGGAGAGCCAATGACCACATGCAAAGGAGCAACTGTTCCTCCCTGAGCTGGATCAGTGTACTTAGTGGCCAATGAGTGCAGTGCACAGCCTGAGTGCCTGGCTCCTTTGCAACACACATCGGTGACATCTGTTATTTGTGCTCTTTCCTCCTTTCTTCAGACCCCATTGTCCTGCTCTGGCTGCTGGCTTTCCGCTCCTTGTCCCCCATCCATCCTCCACCCTGCTCTGCCAGCTGGGAGACTAACCCGCTATGAACCGCATCACCTCCTTCCCTGGCTGGCTGACTTCTTCGTGGGCTCGGCAGGAGCTGGAGGCCAAGACGAGAGAAAGCAGGGGGTATTTGTTTCCCCCATCTATGCCTGCTTTGCTGAGGCTCCCCACGTCCCTGGGGCTCTGCACGTCTAGGCATGGCCATGGCTGTTCTCTGTTGCTGGTCCCCAGGTGCTGGAATGTTCTTTGGTGCTTCTCTTAACTCTGTTCACCTGGCTGTGAATGGTCCCTGCACTAGTCCCATCAGGTGAGCCGTCTGAGGGAGAAACTGTGGTTCTAGAGAAGCTCTGAGATCAACAAAGCTGTCAGTGACCACCGTGGACCAGGGCAGGAGGGCAGGGACTCTTTCTGCTGTCGTGAAGAGTGATGGGAGGTGGCGGATCCCATGTACTCGCTTGCTGGTTACACTGACATTATCCACAGCTGCAGACCAAGCCCACGGGGTAGTCAGTCATCACCTTTTGCCTCCTTTCAGGAAGGCGGTGCTGGGCAAGGCCTGAGGGGAGCAGTGGTCTTTGGGGGCTCCATTTGGACAGGTGACTCTGTTAGGGTGGAGCAGAGATGATGGGGGGAGGTGGGGCATGGGGCGGGTGGAATGGGAGGCAGAGCGACAGACGGAGGAGCGAGCAGGTTGCCAACAGTGGACACCCGACCCACAGAAGTGGCAGAGTAGGAGGAAGTCATCTGAAAACTGTTCCAGACACAGGCTCAAAGTCCTTCCGCTCAGTCTTGGGATAAGTTGGAGGGAGACACTGTGGTCCGTGTCTGGCTTGGATCCCTGAGTGGATGGAGATGCTGGTCACAGAGATGGGTGGCATGGGACAACCAGCCGTTCTCTGCTGGAGACACATCAACATGGAGAGCCAGCTACACTTCTTAGAAACGGAATCATACAACATGTGGTTCTTTGTGACTCTTTCACTTAATGCTTTCAAGGTTCATCTGGGTTGTAGCATGTGTTGCTACTTCATCCCTTTTAATGGCTAAATAGTGTATGCCCCTTGTACGGGGACATGTTCCATTTTATTTGCCCATTCATTTGTTGATGGACATTTGGACTGCGTCTACCTTTTGGCTATGATGAATAATGCTGCTGTGAACATCTGTGTGTAGGTTTATGTGTGAACCTCTGCTTCCATTTTTCTTGTATATTCAGTTGCTTGGTCATAAGATCACTATGTTTAACAGCTTAAAGAACTGCCAGGCTGTTTTTACAAAAATACCCCTTTGCCCCTAGTACCATTTTTGGGGCTTTAAAGTTTGTTTTATTTGTTTATAGCATCTCCAGCTTTCTTACAGTTCTCTCTTGCCTTTTAAAAAGGATGATTTTTATCACAGTTGTGGGTCACCATAAATAATATAGTTATGCATGTTCTGAGCTTTATAAAAATGGTCTTTTTGGACTTGCTCTTTTCAGTCATCATGTTATTTCAAAGACTCGTCTATGTCGTTGTGTATAGCTGTAATTCATCTATGTTCATTGCTGTATAATATCCCACCGTGTGACCGTACCATAATTTATCCATCCTCCTGTCAATGGAGATTTGCTGTGTTTCCAGTGTTTTGCTACCAAATTCATTGCTGCTATGAACATTCTTCTACACCTGTCCTGATGTAAGGACTGCTCTCATTCTCAAAGTGACCAGGAATACCAGCACCAGCTGGGACCTTGTTACAAATGCAAATTCTGGAGCCCCGCCCCAGACGCTCTGAATCAGGAACTCCAAGGGTGGGGCCCCAGCAATCTGTAGGTTTTAACAAGCCTTCTGGGTGATTCTGATGCCTGATGAATTTTGAGAACCATTGCTCTAGGGTATAAAAAAGAAGTTTCTGGATTGCAGTCAGCCAACTGTTTTCCAAAGTTCTTGCTCCGGGTAACTCTCCCTCAGCAGTGTATATGAGTTCCCCTGGATACGCACCCTCTCAGCACTCAGGGTTGTCAGATTTCTTTATTTTGCTCCTGAGTGGGTCTGCCTGGCAGGCTTTCCCTACCGAGAGGCCGGGTGTGGTGGTTTCTCCTCCCTGTCTCCGCTGTCACCGTGGATAAAAGCCTCCCCTCACTGTGGGTTTGTTTTGACAGGAGTACATGCACCATCTGCTCGGCCTGGAGCACCGCGCGGAGGAGCAGTTCCTGGAGCACTGGCTGAACCCGCACTGTAAGCCCCACTGTGACAGGAATGTGGTCTATCCGGTGTAAGCAGCTCGGGACCACCTCCGGTATGTTCCCGCTCCCGGGCCTTCTGTTTTAGGGAGACCAAGGTGAACAGCACACGCATGGCTCAGAGCCTAAGAGAACATGGCATTGGGGGAACCAGTGGGTTAGCTGATTGTGGGCTGGGGACTGGTGAGAGCCAGGCAGGAGAGGTGGGTGGCAGCCAGGTTGGGAGGAGCACTGGGGATCCACCTGGGGGCTTGACTCCTGTTGAGTCACTGAGAGGTCCCAGATGGAGGAGAGACATGACCCTCTTTGCCACCCAGAAAGGGTCTCTCTAGAATAAAAATCTGAAGTGTGGCTTGTTGAGACTTGGGTCTCTCCAGGTGGGTCGGCATCCGTGGGCACCAGGATCAGCAACTTCTTTACTGCCTCCCCACGGCCTTCCTGGGACTGTCCTGCCCGCCCCGTCTTCCCTCTTCCCCTGAGTTTGCCCTGTCAGTCCCCTAAACTGGATGGCTCAGTGTTCCCTGCACACCCCACCTCTGCACCTTTGTTCTCGCGTGAGGCTGCTTGCTGCTTCCCTCACAGTCTGTGTCCATCTCCTAGCCCCCTTTCCAAATCCCGCTAGGTAACAGGCAACATCCCTTCAGAGGTTAAGCCTAGCGAATTTCATTTCTCCACCGTAATGTGTACGGATGATGCGGGGCAGGCTATACCTGGGTAGCTGGTCATCTGTGGTTAAGAGAAATCTTGTATCTTTGCTGTTGACTCTGTGCTGCTGTGAACTGACACAGGAATGCTCCCGTTAGAGGACTGCTCTTTGTGACGCCATCACAAAGGGTGCTATCCAGCAAAATCTCTCATTTGGGCCTCCTAACACCTCTGTGTCTTCGCCGGACAAGCATTTTAACTCTGGTTTTTAGGGGACCTAAATCAACATGATTGAGCTACAAACTCATGCTGGGCAGCGATTGGTATACGTGTCTTCTGACAACTCCAAATCCTGCATGCTCTGTGCGTACAGAACTGCTGGGTCCTGTGTGTGTATGTGTGTGTGGTTGGCGGGGGTCATGGTCCTTCTGAGTGGCTTTAACAAAGAGCGAGAGGGGCATCTGCTAGGAGTGGACATAAGTTCTGCTTTTGGCAGATAGGAGTTGGGCTGACATCCTGTTCTGGTCCCTCCAGCCTCTGAAGCTCTGCTGTAGGTCAGAGCTTGTCCGTCCCCGGCAGCAGCATTGGAAGCCCGCGCTTGGCTTCTCCCAGAACACAGAACTGTGTTGTAGCTGGGAGCTAAGGCTCTGGAATCAAGTGGACTTGGGTTCAGCTCTCTGTTCCTGCTCTGTTGGCTTGGACAAGTCACCTAACCTCTCTGAGCCTCCGTTTCTGCATCTGTAAATTGGGGTGATGATGGTATCTACCGAGCCTGGCGCGTGGTGAATGACTCCATGAACACAGGCACTTACCACCATGGTGCAGGCCGGGGGACAGGAGGGGTTTCTGGGCTGAGTGAGCCTCAGGGCAGTGCCCTCCAAGGGGCGACCAATGCCTCCACCTCTGGTGGTGGTGGTGGTGGTGGTGTTGCTTCTGCAAAACAGAGGATTCCACAGATGCCTCGCTCCAGGCAACGTCCACTTAGACAAGGAAATAATAGCTGGAGGGATGTGTCAACTTGGAATTTGGAGTCAGATATCATTCAGATTGTGAGTCCACTTCCAGAAAAAGTTCCTAATTTCTCTATCAGTTTCCTCACCTGTAAAATATATGGGCTCCTCCCCCGTGAGGCTGTTATGAGCGTTGAAAAAGTCAGTGCACAGAAAATAGTGCTGCCCTGGCATATACTGGGAAGTGCTCAGGAAATTACAGCTTGAGAGCTATTTCTTCCTCCCCCTCCTCCCCTCCCCACCTCCTCCTTCTCTTCTTAATCAACATCACCATCACATTAACATTATTTTCTTGTTCTTTTTCAGCAAGCATTTTGATAAACACCAGCCCGGATGTTGCTGAAACAGGATGAGGCCCCCTCTTTCGTTTACTTTTCATTGTGGAATGGATGTCTTCAGACCTTGTGAATTGTGGGCACAGCAAAGGTTGCCTTGGGGATTGATGGCAAATATTTATGCTGCTTCATTTTACTAACCTGCATAACTCATTAAAACCAATAACTGAAACCACAGCCCTCCCCTCCACCCCGTGGCCTTCCTACCAGTTGGAAAGGGTGGGCTGGTGGACCCAGGACCTCCAGAACAGGAGAGGGTAGCGAGGAAGCCTTGTGCAGCAGAGTGAAGCCCACCAATGGGGGCTGCAGGGGTTTTGATTATAGCTTTTTCCTCTCTCTTCTACTCTAATAAAAATCACTGTTGAGCCCGCTTTCCATGGTGTCTCCTTTCCTTTCCTACAAGAGAAGCAGAGATTTTTTCTCCCTTGTTTATCATTGCAAAAATCCAACATCAGAAAATGTACTATTCTTTGACTAGATGAATGGATAAAAATACAAACACCTGGCAATTTTTCATAAGGGCCATCTTTTTGGGCCAAGAGATGATTTGCCTAAGGCCAGCTCTGGTAATAGAGCCATAACTTAGTACCAGGTGCACACCCTGGTCTTCTAGCCAAGGGGACATTTCTTGTGGAAAGTGGGTTGCAGCTTCTGTATTCCAGTGCCCCTCACCTGCCCACAACCCCCAGAATCCAAGATTGGACTATCAGAGACCAACAAAAGCAAAAATTGGGAAGGCAAAGGGAAGTGGGCTGGATGGTCCTACAGCGAATGCGGCATCCTCAGAAAAGGGTAAGGAGTGATGCCCATTCACCCTGGGGCTACAGAGGAGGGCCTGTGCAGAGGGACCCTGGGAGGGCTTGTCTAGGAGAAAGTTACAGAGCTTCTCAACAATGATGATACTGACATTTATTGTATGTGGACTCTGGGCTGAACCCTACACTAAGACTTTGACATTCAGTACCTCATTCGATCATCACACTGAGGACAACAAATGTTGCTGCCACTTCAGTAAACAATGAATGTTGCCTGCCATCAAGCCATCAGCTACTGTCGCCACCCCTGATGGTGGCTTGATGGTACCTTGATGGTGTCTTGGTACCTTAATGGTGAGGGGAACTCAGGATGGAGAAAACCAGAATCCTGGCCCTGGATAGTTCAGATGCATAGCTAAGGAATAACTTCAATGAGCCCACCAGACTCTTGCATCTTCCCATACATAGAAAAGCACTATAAGCATTAACTTGAGATGTCCATATTTTTGTGATTAGCAGTAATCTTTTGATGTTCAACTGCATGTTTTTTTTTTCAGCAAAAACTCCTGGCTCCTCCCTTATGTCTTCAGAGCAGTTTGTCTTTCTTCCTCTACTCTCAAGGCCAGTAATGATGAGTTGAATCCTTCTCAGACCATATCATTATATTTTTTTTGAGGAGGGGAGGGGGAGGAAATTAGGTTTATTTATTTATTATTTTTTTAAATGGAGGTACTGGGGACTGAACCCAGGACCTTGTGCATGCTAGGCATGCACTCTACCACCTAGCTGTACCCTCCCTCCCCTCCTAGGCCGTGTCATTCTGACTGTCCCTCCTGCCTCCCTCACACAGCTGGTGGGTAAGAGGAGCTGGGATCTGAACCTAGGAAGCCCCTCACTACTCTGGGCCCCCCAAACACACTGCTCCTGAACCTGAAATCCTTCTGCCCTAAGTGGTTAAGTGTTTTTTTTCACCTGAGCTCCTTGAGGGCTCAGGATGTGTCTTTACTGGGACACCTTTGCACCCTCCAGTTAGCAGGGGCATCATTGAGTACCAGACCCATCCCATGGACTCTGACACTTCCAGGGGCTCGTGTGGGTGTGGGGCAGACACAGCCGTCCTGCTCGGGCCAGCACACCACCTGTGTCTCAGGGTGTTTTCTAAGAAGTAGGAGCTGCATGTGTGTGGGGGACAGAATGCAAGGTAACGACACTCATAGGTTCCAAAGAAGAGAAGGAATAAAGCAGGATTAAAATAAAGCAGACCCACAGGGAGCCAGGGTCTCACGACCCAGCAGAGAAGGAGGTGCCTCCTTGAATTTCTAGGAACCCTGGACACGGCTCCCGTCTCAGAGGCAAAAACTTCTCTTATGATCAGAGGGGATTCTTCTTCTGTTAAATTAAGTCTGGTATTCAGCTTCCTCCCCTGGACACACCATGCTGGCTCTGCTGACTTTATCCACATCACACACCCCTGAGGCCACAAAAGGGCCAGCGCTCTGTGTTCTGGTTCATGGTGAGCTCACTGCAGCATCACCTCCCCGGCTCACAGCAGCTTCTCAGACTGCAGGTGAGTGAGAGCGAGGGTGCTAGCGGACAGCAGCAGGGAGCAGTGGTTCAGAATCCAGGCTTGGAGCCGGACTGCATTCCAATCCTGGCTCCACCACTGATTATCTGTGTGCCCTTGGGCAAGCTGATTAACCTCTCTGGGCCTCTGGGAATAATAATGATAATACTATTATTCCAATGTTCCAAATGTTATTGTGATGACTCCTTTCTTGAGTAAGCACTCCATAAAAGTTGCCATTACTATTTTAAAAAAATCCTTGGGCATTGTTTTATGAATCAAGATAAAGTCTCTCTCTCTCTGTTTATATTTTAAAACTTTTTATTTAGAGAAGAGGTAGAGAGTGGTTGGGGAATCCAGGGTACTGAAGGGCTGCCTTCCTACCCAAGAAAGAGTTGCCATCTTTACATTATTGAACCTTCCTATCTATGAACACGGTCTCGCTCTCCATTTATTTTCACCATTTTTTAACATCTATCATTAAAATTTTATAATTTTCTTTGTAAAGATTCTGCATATCTTCTGCCAGCATTATTTCTAGGTATCTTGCAGGACTTTAAAAATTATAACTGTAATTTTCTTAAAATTACATTTTCTAGTTGGTTATTCTGCTGTGCATAGGAATAATATTGATTTTTACATATTGATTGTATCCAGCCACCTTTCTGATCTCTCTCATTAATTCTAATAGTTTGAGGTTTTGAGAGCGTTATTATGTATGACCTTTCCTCCTGTCCCAAGTTTAGAACAAATTGAGACGTAAAGGCAAGAGTCAGGCAGACAGTCACAAACTATCGGTTTCATTACCCGTAAGCTTCTTTGGAAAATATGGATCAGATCTGTGGCTACAGTAGGCTCTTTACTACCCCATTCCATAACTGTATGTACCCAGGAGCTGGAAAACTGCAGCCCCGCCTTTGTAAATATCACAGAGCGGAGGAGCAGAGGATATGGGTGGGTCCTACAGGCGGGCTGGTTCCCCAGGAGAGGAGGGAGGAGGGTGCTGGGCTGCGCAGGCCCAGTTCCTTCTCCAAACTTATCAATTACTGTTTTGGGGTCGGGGAGGGAGCAAAGAGAGGCCAGGGGTGCTATTCTAATGGAGTTACCACCAATGAAGAAACATGAAACAAAAATCCCTCACAAATTATAGATTGCATTGCATTTTCTATGTATAAAATCTTATTGTCTATGATTATACTGTTGCTTCTTTTATAAAAGGTGTAACTCTTATTAGTTTTTCCTGTCTTATCACAATAGCTAGGACTTCTAGAAAAGTGTTGGACAGAGGTCATAATAGTGTTTTCTTGTCTCACACCTGTCTTTAAAGAGACTAAGTATGATTGCTGTAGCCTTTTGGTAGAAAGCTGTTTTCACGCCAGGGAAATTACCTTCTGTTTTGAGTTTGAAAAAAAATTATAAAGGGGTATTTAATTTTTTGAATGCTCTTTTACATTAATTAAAATGAGTATACAATTTGTAATATTAGTGTGGTAATAACTAATAGATTTTTCTAATGTTAAACCATCCTTAAATTCCTCAGCTAGTGCGTCTTGTCAGGAAAGGCTTCCTAGAGGTGGGGGCTTTCAGTAATTGTGAAGTAATTAGCTGGACAAAAGAGAAGGAAGTGGGGATGAAAGGTAGGCAAGGATGAGGGCTAGAGTTCGTGCAGTTAGAGGCAGCAGCAAGAGCAAAGGCCCTGAGGTGGGGAAGGAGCGACTCTGTTATAGGAGCTTCCAGAAAGCCAGTGTGGCCTCACTCTGAGGAACGAAGGAGAATGTCTGAGATGAGGAGGTAGCCGGCTAGTAAGTCTCCTCCAGTCCAGTTAGCGAGCCCGCCAGGTGATTTGATGACCTGAGAGGTTGAGAACCATTGGGTTAGATCTTCCTGAAGCTTCCTGATGCTGTAGGAAAAACCCAAGATCCAGAGCTGGGAGGCCTGGGCTCTGGTCCTCTTTATTCATTCTTCCAACAAATATGTTCTGAGCACCTACTCTGTGCCTCACACTGTGCTAAGCCCTGGGGATCCAGAAATGAACAAGACAGTCAAGGATGAATTTAAAAAATTAAAGTTCATCTCTATCTATTTATCTATATCTATATCTCATCATTTTAATCAGTATAAAGTATACAATGTAGTGGAATCTAGTACCTTCACAATGTTGTGCAACCATTAACACCAACTAGTTCCAGAACATTTTATCACTCCCAAATGAGGCTCAATAACCATTAAGCAGGTATTCCCTGTTTGTCCCTCTCTGCAGCCTCTAGTAACTACCAGTCTGCTTTCTGATTCTATGACTATGCTTTATAATTCTATTTTGGGCATTTCACATAAATTGAGTGATATAATATATGGCCTTTTGTGTCTGGTGTTTTTTAACTTAGCACACATTTTTGAAAGTCATTCAGATTGTAGTGTCAGTACTTCATTCCTTTTTAAGGCCGAGTAATATTCCATCGTATGGATATACCGCATTCTGTTCACCCATCATCAGCTGACAAACCACTCGTGTTGTTTCCACTTTTCAGCTATTGTGAATAGTGCTGCTATGAACATTTGTGTACACATTTTTGTTTGAGTCCATGTTTTCAGTTCCTTTGGGTGTATTCTTAAAAGCAGGTTTGCAGGGTCAAATGATAATTCTATGATTAACTTTTTGAGGAACCACCAAACTGTTTTCTATAGTGGCGGCACCATTTTACATTCCCACCAGCAATGCATGAGGGTTCCAATTTCTCCACATCCTTGTCAACACTTGTTATTTTCTGTTTTATTATAGCCATCCTAGTGGGTGTGAAGTGGTATCTGATTAAGGTTTTGATTTGCATTTCTCTAATGACTAATAAAGCATCTATTCATATGCTTATTGGCCATGTGTAAGTTCTCTTCAGAGAGATGTTTATTTAAGTTCTTTATCCCTTGGAAAATTCAATTGTTTGTCTTTTTGTTGTTTGAGGGCTGGTGTTTTTGTAATGACTGAGAGCAGATCTTCCTAAAGGTGGAATCTTGGACAAGTTACTGAATCTCCCCTGCTTCAGTTCCCTCTTCTG